AGATTAAATTTCTAACAGTAAGGCACAAAACCAATCCATTTACAGAATTAGTCTTACATTAGCACATAGGAGTACAAATCACCCTCCCTGGGGATGGATCTATTTGCAGTTTCTCTTAGCATTTTTGGAGGAAGTCCAGTAGACTTTGGGAAAATCTAGTATTCACTGACTTTGGATTAACAAAGTAATGTGACCCCTTTGTGGTTGGGTTTTTTTTTTTAGCTTGACTGAGAAAGGATTGATTTTTATATCTGTATAATTTAGGGTTGTGGTTCTCAGCTTTTACTGTGTGTGAGGATCCCTGAGGGAGAGAGGCTTGAGCCCCACCCCTGGAAATTTGGGGCAGTAGGTCTGAGTGAGACCCTGGACATTTGGATTAAAAAAAAAACTACACAGATGGTTTTGATGTGTAATACAGGACGAGAGTCATCAATAGTGGTGGAGAATCAATATCTGAGCCATTAAAGAATTAAAAGCCAGGTGGTATGTTATCAAAAAGATGTTTTTCCTTCAGTTTGCAGGTATGTTTATATGTTGGATTTATTGGTCTTCTATATGGTCTTCTGTAGCATAAATTTGGCCATTCTCACATTGCTTTGGCTATTAAATTGATGCGAAATTATTCTCTCTCAACATTGTAGTCATATTGACATTTTTGTAGTGTGACCAGATTTCCCTATATTAATATTTCCAGTGTCTTTAATCTCTTTTCCTCCTTCTTGGAATATCTTTGTTTCCAAAATGCTGACATGTCCGTTTCCATGTTTTTAAGTCAGTATAGATATAGGTTTGGTTAATGGAGGCTGTAACTTTTTGGATGGCTATGTGCTTCAAAATAGCCCAGGTGGAAGACTGATTGCACCTTTTAAATTACAAGGTATTTTTCTGCACACTAGTGGCAAGTAGTGTTTTTTACTTATATTTATGAACTGTGGGAAGTACTAAGTGAGAGTGTTTAAGACATTCTGCTGCTGCTATTAGGGTATACGTGGTTACTGGGCTACAGCTTCTGTCCAGGATGTGGCTCCGTATCCTTGTCAAATCATACATACCTATAAAAGAACTGCATTTGCAAACACAGGGTCAAACATGCTCATAATTCTCAATCTTTTGTAAGGTGTTTCCCAATTGATATGTTACTGGTAATAACAAAGTGAAGTTTGTGAATGATTTACTTGACATTGCAGCTACTCCAGTTTTTGTTTGTCTGTCTTTGGTATAAGAACATCACTCTGACTTCCTGCATTCCATTTTGCCTCCTTGAGTAGAGGAACGGAACGTAGGTTACCTAGACTGATGTTTCTGGGGTTGTGCACAAGAACCCTTGGGAATGTGTTGAACACGGGCCTGTCATGGATCGCATCTGCTGCTTTGGAAAAGTTGGATTTTCCGTGAAGCAGACTCTGAGATGGAGATTTGCATGCCCATGGTTTAGTGGGTTGGCCTTTCTGAGAGGTCCCAAATCAAGGCAAGGAGGCCAGGCCTTTGTCCCCAGGTATTGACTAGTCATTGAATGCACACTGCCCCCCAGAAGTGGGTGTAACCTGGGATGAAGCAGCTTGTTTGGCCAAGGGCAGTGCCTAGGAAGGGACTCAGCTATGAGCGAGAGGCAGCAGTGTTCTGGGCATCTGGGGGAATAAGTGTTGTGGACTGAGAGGGGAAGTCTGAAGGACCCACTGCAGCATCCACTGCAAGAGCTGATGATTGAATGTCTTGCCAAAAAGACTCCGAGTGTGCAGCATGAAACTTCAGGATTTGGTCTCCTGACTTCGTGGGTCTACGTATTTCTTAAAGATGTGGACCTTCCTTTAGTATATTGGTTTCTTTTTTTGCCCCGCCATTCCCCAACCAGTGGTAGCAACAGAGGGGGTCATTTATATGAAAGTCTGGGACTTGATCTGTTTGGGATTGATAATCATTTTGGAGCTTAGATGTAATTCTAAGAGCACAGTGATTTAAAAAAAAGTTTGGCTTTGTAATGTTGGTATTTACATATTTATAATTCAATGTGTTGAAATAGTTGTTGCCCTCCAGAACTTATAAATGGCCAAGAACCATCACAACTGCATCAGTAGTGAGACCAGCGTGGTGTCTCTGATTGTTTGTTGTATGGGGGGCCACAACACCCCTGACTGGTCATTGGCACCCTGGTGGCTGCTCCTTTTTGTCTGCTTTGCACTAGAGCAAATCCTTCTTTAGTTATTACTGTGGCATAACTTTTAAAAGTGATGATTCTGTTTTAAAAGTCCTCTGGGAAAAGACCTGTGGTGTGGATACTTTCAATGTTCAGACCCTGAGTAACTTAGCCTCCACTGTACCATCCTTTTTTGCTGTCATCAACTATCATCTGCTTATGGTATGGCAAGGGGAGATGACTTTCTGTTTAAACAGCCAGCTGGTATAGGAGTAACATGGAATGTGGACCTTGGCAACAAATATTTGTTGGGGTCGGTCTGGTGGCATCGTGGTTAAGTTTGCACACTCCGCTTTGGCTGCCCGGGGTTCGCTGGTTGAGATCCTGGGCGCGGACCTACACACTGCTCATCAAGCCATGCTGAGGCGGCATCCCACATAGAGCAACTAGAAGATATACAACTATGACATGCAACTATCTGCTGGGGCTTTGGGGAGGAAAAAAGGAGGAAGATTGGCAACAGATGTTAGCTCAGGGCCAATCTTTCTCAAAAAAAAAAAAATTTGTTGAAGGAAAAAAAAAGGGAGCTAGAGGGCCACTCAAGGAAAGAAAATAGCAGTATTCACAATCAATTACTGCATGCCTGGCCCTTTCCATGTATTATTTCATTTTATTCTTAATAACATACCTATTTATAGGCTATTTGTATCTGTTTTACAGATGAGGAAGCTGGAGCTCAGATGCGTTTAGCCTGGTCTCATGGCTAGTCAGGCGGCAGAACTGGGATTTTCAGTTTGAATCTTTGCTCTACACCTGCATGCTGTGCTGCATCCAGAGTTCATGGTGGTTGGGATAAGGAGGCTGGTGGTAGGGTCGGGGGACGCTAACATAGAGGTGCTGTTTTCAAGGATGAGAATAGAGGATTGGCCAGCTGCATAGGCAAAAGGGGAAAGCTCCTGCCACTGGAAGTGTGACTTTTCTGCACCAGAATACCTAAAAACAAAGCTGATTTCTGGTGCTTGATCACAGCAGCGTCAAGTCCAGGCGCCAGTGTGCAGTGAATCCTGAAGGGACCCACGGAAGCAAGCAGTGCCCTGGCCCATCTCTAACAGGGAGAAGCTCAGCATGGGCTCAGTGTGCACGATTGCAGGCTTTTCTTTGCCTTTGTTCTGCTCATCTGAGGATAAGGAACATTTTTCTCTTGTTTCTTTACCATGTAGGTAAAGTAGACTTCTCCACCTCACCATGGTCAAATAATCCAAAAAAGAAAACAGAAGGAAGTCCAGGGTTGCAAAGGAGCGTCTCGTGTTGTGAGTGGCTTTCCTCCACTGGCGGTGACTCCCTCCAGGGTTGTGTTGAGAATCTCGAGTTATGTCTGTGCTGAGAGAGAAAGTGATGACTCTTTTTCTTGATGAGTGAAGCCAGTTAGTTGTCGGAGGGGACCTAGCCTGGCATTTGACCACTGACTTTCTATTGCTTTTTTAGGTGAGGATCTCTTTGTTTTCAAATTACACTTGCAGATTTTTTCCTGTTTTTTCTGTATAACCAATATTTTTCTCCTGGTTGAACATTCTGTTCCTTCTTGCCCACAGAGGACTGTCAACTTGTGCTCTTTTTTCCTCTAGAGATCTTTTTTGGCCCTCTTACTTAGCCTTGCACTGTTTTTGCAGTTGAGTACATTTCCTTCTTATGCCCTGTATTATCTTTTAGCCCTGAGACTCCTAGATGAATGGAAACATGATTCCAGAAAAATCTTTATCCTGAATCTTGGTAGGGTTTAAGTCAGTGCTCGCACTCCCTTAAAAATGTCGAGACTATTTTCAATTTCTAGACTGCAGCCTTGCAATATATGACTGTTGTATTTGAGTGGTGAATTAATAATTTTCTTGCAACCACTAAGTCACTGATGTCAGCCAAAGCTTATTAAAAATGAATTTAATTAAGCAAGTTCTGTTGGGACAAAGAGCGCCGCTTTCCCTAGCTTTGCAGAAGCTCACACCAAAGTGAACTTTGGCAGGTGGATTTGGGAAAGGGCAGAGGGATACTTATGCACACTTGGCTTTTTTTCTGTTTCACACTCATATTTCTTTGTGCTACTGGGATTGTCATGACAGCCTTATCTCTCAAGTAAAGCCTGTTACCTCATCCCTAATTGCTTATCCAAAGGCAGGCGAGCTCTAATTTCTCTGCATTAATAAATGACACCGAAGAAGAACTGCTTTGTTTGCTCTGGCTCACTCAGGTTAACCAGTGTAAGCCCCTGAGTGCATTAGGGAACCTTGTGCTTCTCCAGCGGCCACGGGGAGATGGGCTTCACCTCAACCAAGAGCAGCATTTTATTTTATTTACTTTTTCCTCATGCCCACAGCCCTATTCTCCTTTTCCTGATGAAAACACTTGAGTGACCTTGGTCAGCCTTTCTCCAGCTGTGGGTACTCACTTCCCTCCAAGTTGGGGGTAGTAGCAGTTGTCCTGGAAGGACCAGTGACCCCTGATTTCAAGCCTCACTTTCTTGGTGCCTGCTGCTCTCCTTTCCTTAGAAGCTCAGAGGCTTCCCACAAGCCTTTGCACTGAGTCCTGTGGGGTACCCCAGGTTGTCAGATGGCACCCCTGCTTGTCCTTTTTGAAGCATTGTGGGAAATGGTCTTGTGGATTACATAAGTGGATGTGAGGAGAGAGGCTTGTGGGGTTGGAGAATTGAGAGTGGCTGTCGAGTTCTGACTTAGTTCTATGACTGTGCTCTGCGAAATAGAATGCTTTGCTCCTCTTGGGAAAAAGCATCATCTCTCTTGTCACCACCTAAGGATATCTCTGGTAATTTAAAGGGCCTGTAAATATGAGCATGTTCGTATCTCAGAATCGTAAGCCTATTTCCTTTTTTCTCCTCAGAATGAAATGGATGATGTGCCCTTCTTCGATATCCAACTGCCTTACGAATTGGCAATCAATATATTTCAGTATCTGGACAGGAAAGACCTAGGAAGGTGTGCACAGGTAAGCTGTCACTAACCGATGTTCAAGATTTACCTACATGTGTAATTTAAGTATAGGAAGCTCTTGGGTAACAGAAATTTATTTAACAGAATTACAAACTTTAAAGAATTAATGAATTGGATAGCAACTTTACTTGAGGAGAAGCAACCTTGAACTTAAAGGATTGTGTTCCACATCACCACTTGGTGTTTATCTTTTTGTGACCATCTGCTCAAGAGCTCTGTTCTCCGTGCAGTCTGAGTTATGGCTGACCTGTGGCAGTGTGCTCAAGGCTGACAACTCTGTGCTGGGCCTTTATTGAGCTAGCCTGAGCTGTTAATGTCCTCACCCTTTTTAATGCAAAGATGCCAACCCTGGTTAAATCAAGCCAGTCGTTAGGTTGGGAGCTGAGGGTCAGCCTGGGGACAGAACAGTGAAGTCATGTTTTAGGCCTGTAATCCAAATTACCCTTTAAACACCAGACTCCCACTCAGTGAGGTGTGAGGCATGTGAGAACTGATACCTGCTGAGGGAATTGCAGATCACTGTCACCCATCTCATGCGTAGTCTGGGTCATACGCCCGTGGAGTGGATGGTGGGAGATGTTGCCTAGGCCAAACTGGAGTGTGTACATGAATCACAGGGGATCTTGATAAAATGCAAATTCGGACTCAGGAGGTCTGAGTGGGGCCCGATATTCTGCATTTCTAACCAGATGATGCCTCTGTGGCTTTGGCCACGCTTTGAGAGGCAAGGGTTTATGGCATTCAAATTGGTCTCCTGTTCTCTTCTTTTTGGCGAAGAGTGTGTAATTTTTCACGAGTTAAATGTGTGTATGATTGCTGACCATTTGGCTTTTCATGGACAACTGTGTTCCCAGAAGACACTGGAGTATGCATTGTCCATAACTGCCAAAGAATAATTTGTTTATTGATTATCATTTCCCATCCCTGGATTCTATAATGCATTTTACACAAGTGTCTATGCCTTCAAGAGAAAGAGTTTGGTAAAATTGAGAGGCAGGAGAACTATAGACTAAAAATCCAAAGTACCACCGAGAATGTGAAGTTAAAAATATTAAGGTAGTTTGAGTGGTGCAAACTGTAGCCAAGTTTAGACTCTACAGCTTGCTACCTCTGTGGCAGTTCAACGAAATCACACAAAATACAGGACAGTTTAGTTTTTGGTTTTACACTATTTCCTTTTTTTCTTCTCTTTTTTTTTTCTGGTGAGGAAGATTTGCTCCGAGCTAACGTCTGTTGTCAATCTTCCTCTTTTTTTTTGCTTGAGGAAGATTAGCGCTGAGCTAACATCTGTGCAAGTCTTCCTCTATTTTGTATGTGGGTTGCCACCACAGTGTGGCTTGACAAGTGGTGTAGGTCTGTGTCTGGGATCTGAATCTGTGAACCCAGGCCGCCAAAGCAGAGTGCACCAGACTTAACCACTATGCCGTGGGACTGGCCCCTTATGCTCTATCTTTATGAAGAATTTTGCTTAATCAAAATTATTTTTCTACTTAAATATGAATTTGAAAGTTTTCCTATTCTTGATTGCCATAATGTTATTTAAGTTGGGAGTGTTGGCAAATATTTTTTGATGCAGTGTCTGGAAATCTTTAGGAAATGATGGAAGAAGTTATTCAAAGGCTAAAATTCACTAAATAAAAATGTACTGAAGTGTAAACCATGCTCAGAGCCTATCGACTGCGTTAAGTGAGAGTACCTATGTTGTCTTCTTTCCCTTGGAAGTTGGATTTGTTATAGTCTAACTTTACACATTGGCCCGGTGCCCGAGAATTGAAAACAAGGGTGTAGCTAAATGAGTCCAATTCCTGGATTTCAGCCTGATGCTGTTAGCCGAAGTCTTGGAACAGGGTCTAATAGCTAGCTGCTTTCCACAAAGTCAGCATTAGATGATAAAATCTTCATTTTTGATAGGGAGCTGCTGTTTAAGGAATCGTTTCTTTTAACGTTGCTTTTTGCTCTCCTGCTTTGTAGAGGGCCATGTGGCTTTCACATCTGCTGCTGGTTTTCTCATCCAAAGATTTATCAGTGAAAGATAGGATCTTGTGGAAGAAGAGATCCCCTTTTTACAATGGGGCTGCATTTCAGGGTAGATTGATTATGCTGGTGAGATTATTCTGCAGGTGTGAACAGTTTAATTTGCAACACAGTAGTCCAATTGTCCACTAGAATTCTTTCCTCTTTGGCCAATTGGATTTAGGGTTTTTTTTTTGTTTTTGGTTCAACCTAATTTTTAGAGCGCATATGTAAGAATAGAAAATATTCTTAAACAGAACCCCTAAGGTAGCTGTGATCTCTGAAGCCAGGATTTTTTCATAGAATTTATGCATGAAGATGACAATGGATGGCCAGCAGTTTGTAGAATTGGCTTTGTTTTTTTCAAGTGTTAAAATAAAACCACAACGTAATAAAAACAAGGAGCCTTTTCATTTGCTTCTTGTGTTGTTTTTATTTTTAAATAGGGGAAAAAGTCCTTCTGTTGAGTGGAATGTCCTGCTGCTTTATAATTTCATTTTAGAGGAGGCTTGCTCGGTCTGTCTCTCTTCTCTTTTAATCCAGCTGCCTTGGGATTTTTGTGAAATTGGGCCATTTATGTGGAATTGGCACCATGAACTACATGTGTGCCCTTGGAGAAAACCTGTTTGCTTAGATCTTTATGCCAAGTTGGTAACTAACAGTAAAGAACCCTGATTGGGGAGGACTTTTGAGATTTAATTATGCCACAAACTGTGCTGGAGAACTGATTTTGCTCTGACTTGGTCTCCTTTCTGCATCCTCTCTCTTTTCCTGCTTTGTGAGGCTTTATGCTGTCAGAACTAAAATCTTGCTACATGAGTGAATGAGCCTTGTGTACTTTTTTTTTTTTTTTTTGCTGAGGAAGATTCGCCCTGAGTTAACATCTTTTGCCAATCTTCCTCTTTTTGCTTGAAGAAGATTCGCCCTGAGCTAACATCTGTGCCCATCTTCCTCTATTTTATTTGTGGGTCGCCACCACAGTATGGCCACTGACAGTGGTGTAGGTCTGCGCCCAGGATTTGAACCCAGGCCGCCGAAGCGAAGCATGCTGAACTTAACCAGTAGGCCACCGGGGCCAGCCCCAATCCTTGTGTACTTTTGATGTGACCTCTCTAGCTCCATGCTATCAATAATTGTCTCTCAAGAGATTTAGTATCTCTCTGGGAGTGTTTCATGCTGAAACGTCTCAAACTGTGACTTCTAGCAAGCAAAGTTATGCATTGGGCAATTCATTGAACTGCTTTATCATTTTGCTATTTGTAGTTTTATGTTCATTTTTGTTTGTGTGGGTGCACAGAATTCCTGGCATTTTAAAGGGTAATATTTTTAATTGGATAACAATTACAAAAATTGTCGATTTTCAAAATTACAAAATTGTTTGGTTTTTATGAGAAGACTAAGTCTGCTGTTATATAAATCACAACATGAATAATCCTGAGGAGTAAAGGTTTTTAGGTATTTACCAACATTCATTTTTAAAACTTTTAAAATAATTATAAATTTACAGGCAGTTGTGAAAAATAGTACAGAGAGGTCCTCTGTACCCTTCCCCCAGTTTCTTCCATTGGTAATATCTTGCATAACTATGGAACATCAGAGCAGGACATTGGCATTGGTGCAGTCCACAGCGCTTATTCAGGTGTCACTAGTTTACACGCACCCATCTGTGTGTGTGTATTTGGTTCTGTGCAGTTTTATTACAGGCGTAGATTCGTGTGACCACACAGTCAAGATGCAGAACATTCATCACAAGGGTCTCTGTGCTACCCTTTTATGGCCACACCCACCTCTATCCCCTTCCCTGTCCCTACCCCCTGGCAACCACTAATCTGTTCTCCATCTCTATAATTTTGTCTTTTTTTATTTTCATATATTTTAGTTACGTGTATTTCCTAATGTGTAAGTTTAGAAATTTAGCTTGCATAGGCAACAATGTCATGTTTTTCAAGTAAAAGGTAGAAAAATGTACATGAAGAAAGCAATAAAGAAAAAGAGGAAAGATGCAGAGGTTAATAACTTGAGATTTATGGGGGCCGGCCTGGTGGCGCAAGTGGTTAAGTGTGTGTGCTCCGCTGCGGTGGCCCGGGGTTCGCCAGTTCGGATCCTGGGCGCGCACCGACGCACTGCTTGGCAAGCCATGCTATGGCGGCATCCCGTATAAAGTGGAGGAAGAGGGGCACGGATGTTAGCCCAGGGCCAGTCTTCCTCAAGAAAAAAGAGGAGGATTGGCAGATGTTAGCACAGGGCTGATCTCCTCACAAAAAAAAAAAAAAACTTGAGATTATGATAAAATTGGTGAGCAAGAAGTAGGTGTTACCAAAATAAATAAGTGATTCTGGAAGTAAAATATTAGTTTATAATATTTGAAGTTTCAAGGAAAATGTGATCTTATGATCTTCCCAGATGTCCAAATAGGAGAAACTAAAATCTGAGATTTTATAGCTAAAGGTTTTAATGAAATCTTTAAAAGTCGCGAATCCATAGCTAAGTGCGGCTGGATTGATTTTTCACAAGAAATGATTCTGAAGACCTGTGGTTGCTGCAGGGTTCTCTTGGTTACCTTTCACCTTTGCCACCAGACTTCTCTCAGGGAGATATGTGCGTGCCCCAAGACCCAAGGACCCTCAAGGCTTTCCTTTTTTTTTGGTAAGGAAGATTGGCCCTGAGCTAACATCCGTTGTCATTCTTCCTCTTTTTGCTGAGGAAGATTGTCCTTGAGCTAACATCTGTGGCAAGCTTCCTCTATTTTGTATGTGGGACGCTACCAAAGCATGGCTTGATGAGCGGTGTGTAGGTCCTTGCCCGGGATCTGAACCCACGGACCCTGGGCTGCCGAAGCCAAGGGCGCAAATTTAACCACTACACCACCAGGCCAGCACCTGGGGGTTTCCTTTTAATTCACCAGGTTGCAGTGGCTGTCTCCTTTACACAAGGTTAGGAAAAGCAAAGCAGAGCTAGAAGAAAAGATGGGGAGCTAGATGA